TCAAAACATTAATTAAAATTAAATCATTTTGATTTCTGCATTTGAATATATAATTTTCAGTATACAGTAGGCACATTTTATAAATTATATAACATCCAAACAATAAAATTTATAACATGAAATTTTTAGACTTAGGGTTGATTTGTCAAAATTGAACATTTAGGGGCCAGCAGGTGACGTGGTGATTAAGGCACACATGGACTCCCACATGGCCAACAGCAGTTCAAATCTCAGAACTAGCAGCTTGAAAATCACGCTGGTCACATGTATGTGCATGCCCAAAATCCTAAGAAGAGAATGGAGGAGAAGGGACTGTGGCGTGGCCATCTCCCCTGGGAGGTAGTTTTTCACTTTCTCTTTCACTGTTTCTCTCTCTCTGGTGAGTACACCCACCCTATGGTAATAACCTTAAAAAAATATTGAACAGCTATACCTCTTCCTTGTTTAAGATATAAGTAAAATACCTTCAGTTGCCCCAATACTCCAGTATCATGGATGGTCAAAGACCTTCAAAATTTTCCATCTTCTGTTAGTAACTTACCAAGTTATTCTTGATCTATTGTGATCCATAGTCTAACTGGGCCATATAGCTTTATGTGGTAGACAAGAAGTGTCTGTTTCCAGGGAGTGCTAAAAGGGCACTATTATGTAGGTTTCAGTATTTGGGGATCTACAGTGGAATTTGGTTATGATTTTTTTTAAGAGATTTTTTTGCTATAGGGCGCATGTGCTTGCTGAAGAGACAGAGACAGACAGAAAGACCAAAAGCAAGAAATCACCCCACCCCCAGGAGGAATGCATCCTGCAATCCCTTATCCTCCATTCTCCTCTTGGGATCTTGGGCACATGCACACACATATGCCCGGAGTGTTTCAAGCCAATAGATCTGGGACTCAAATTGCTGTCGACTCTGTGGGAGTCCAGTGACCATTACGCCGTCGGCTGGTCCTGCTACAGTGGAATTTGGGACTAGTGTTCGAAAATATAATTGATGGTTGGCAAACTCATCAGTCACTATTTTTGCTTTTCTAGAGAGATTTTTGTTATAGGGCACTCACCAGAAAGACAGAGACAGAGAGACAAAAAGTGAGAAATTACCCCCCAGGGGGGATGGCCACATCACAATCCCTTTCTCCTCCATTCTCCTCTCGGGATCTTGGGCACGCAGGCACACGTGTCCGGGACTTGAACCGCTGTCTACTACATGGGAGTCCAGTGATGTAACCATTATGCAATAATCCCAACTCTATTTTTACATTATACTTCTCATGACCTCCCAGATTCAACTCTATACATTCGATGCAGTCTGAATCTAATTTCCTACATGATTTCTTTTGGCACTTTGCAAGCTGATTCTAAAATTCATAAAAGAGCAAATAGGCAATTACCCAGCTAATTGTAAAGAACAAGCAAGTGGCTGAGTATATATCTGTAGTACTAAATGTGGGGTTTGTTCAGAAATAGATAAATACATCAAAAGAACAAAATGGAGCCCAGACACATATTTAGTATATCATAAAACTGCTATTTCAAATCTACGGGAAATCGTGATGGGACAATTTGGTTTGTACTTTCTTCATTATATATATGTGTGTGTGTGTGTGTGTGTGTGTGTGTATTAATAGTTGCTCTAGACATTATAATATATGCATCTTTAACTTACCACAACTTACATGGATTTAATATTGAATTACTTTAGAACAAATATAGGAAACTTGCTGAATGTGTTTGTTGTTGATTTTTCTTGTTTTTCTGTAGGGTGTGTGTTTTTTCCAGAGAGACAGAGAGGGGAAGTGAGAAACCCCTTCTCCTCCATTCTCCTCTAGGCTTCTGGGCATACACGCACACATGCTCTGTGTAATTTTCAAGCTACTGGAAAAGACAGAGACAGAGAGACAAAAAGTGAGAAATTACCCCCCAGGGGGGATGGCCACATCACAATCCCTTTCTCCTCCATTCTCCTCTCGGGATCTTGGGCACGCAGGCACACGTGTCCGGGACTTGAACCGCTGTCTACTACATGGGAGTCCAGTGATGTAACCATTATGCAATAATCCCAACTCTATTTTTACATTATACTTCTCATGACCTCCCAGATTCAACTCTATACATTCGATGCAGTCTGAATCTAATTTCCTACATGATTTCTTTTGGCACTTTGCAAGCTGATTCTAAAATTCATAAAAGAGCAAATAGGCAATTACCCAGCTAATTGTAAAGAACAAGCAAGTGGCTGAGTATATATCTGTAGTACTAAATGTGGGGTTTGTTCAGAAATAGATAAATACATCAAAAGAACAAAATGGAGCCCAGACACATATTTAGTATATCATAAAACTGCTATTTCAAATCTACGGGAAATAGTGATGGGGCAATTTGGTTTGTACTTTCTTCATTATATATATGTGTGTGTGTGTGTGTGTGTGTGTGTGTATTAATAGTTGCTCTAGACATTATAATATATGCATCTTTAACTTACCACAACTTACATGGATTTAATATTGAATTACTTTAGAACAAATATAGGAAACTTGCTGAATGTGTTTGTTGTTGATTTTTCTTGTTTTTCTGTAGGGTGTGTGTTTTTTCCAGAGAGACAGAGAGGGGAAGTGAGAAACCCCTTCTCCTCCATTCTCCTCTAGGCTTCTGGGCATACACGCACACATGCTCTGTGTAATTTTCAAGCTACTGGACACAGGATCCGAACAGCGCAGTCAACCGTGTGGGACCTAGTCACTCTAACCTCCATGTCACCTGTGGATCCAGTGTTTTCATTTACTCTGCCTCATCCTTGATGCTGTTGTATATATGTTACATTTATTTATGTTATCACCCCCCCAATGCAAAATAACTGTAACTTTTGCTTTAGTCCTATTTTTGGAATGTAGTAATTACAAGGGAAATATATAAACATGCACACATGTATGTGTGTCCTTTTGTATTTGCTACTTTTTGTTTGTTTGTTTGACTTTCCCGATGTGGGTGCTCACACCACACTCCCTTCTCTGCCATTTCTCCATCCTGTGTGAATCTCGGGTACACATGCACATGTACCAGGTGTGTCTGCCACAGCAGCTGGGATCTGAGCCACAGTCGGCCATGTGGGACCTGGCTTCCTTCACCACTGCACCATGGGACCAACATACCACTCTTCCCTATCCACGGAGTTAATATCCGGCACCTTTCTCACTTCCCTCCGACATGGAAGACTTCTTGGAAAGGGCGTTTCTTGTAGTGCCGGTGATCAATGAGCTCTTATTTGATGACCTCAAAATGTCTTTGTCTTCATTTTTAATGAGCTATTTCTCTAGCTGACAGTTTTTTCTTTTCGGATTTGATGTCATTCTATGATCTCTGGCCTTCATTGTTTCTCCTGAGAGGTCAGTCACCAATTGCACTGTTGTTCTCCTGTGTCATTTTTCTCTGTTTGTTTAATGAGTTATTTCTCTAGCTGACAGTTTTCTTTTCGGATTTAATGTCTTTCTATGATCTCTGGCCTTCATTGTTTCTCCTGAGAGGTCAGTCACCAATTGCACTGTTGTTCTCCTGTGTCATTTTTCTCTGTTTGCGAGATTGGCTTTATCTCTGGCTCGCAGCACTTTGACTAGGACGTATGCTCAAGAGAGGGTTTTCTTTGTTTCTTTCTCCTGGGATCCTTCTAGTTGCCGCTTTCAGGAGTGATCTCTTTTCCGGCTTGTTGTGGTAACCTTCCCAGTGCCTTTAGATGTTGTTCTTTCTGTTCTTCCCAGATTTCATCTTTGCTCTCTGTGAGAGGGTTTATGCGACCACCTCACTTAACAACTACTGCCTTAAATGCCCCGTTACTCTCTCGTGGGAGGAGGGTGGGGCATGGAAGATACCTACACCTCACGTATTCTCGAAAATAAATCCCTATGATCTGGGAAGTCTAGAAGTAAAACACCTTATTTTCTCAACCATTACGTGTCTGGGCAGAAATAACACTTGGGGAGAGCAGTGAGAGGGTACCAGCTGGAGCAAGGTATGTAAAAGTGCATTTGACTGACCATTATTTTCTTCGAGTAATATTTGAAGGTTTATGTCTGATGAATTTTTCAGAGGGAGGGGGCAATTCTTTTGTTGCTGGTGGTGGTTCAAATGTCTTCTGTTTTTGTTTGTTTCGTTTTGTTTTGTGTGTGTGACCATGCAGGAGATATACTAGGAAGATTAGTACCTTAGAAACAAATTATCACTCATTCTTGAGACAGGGAGGTAGTGTTGCTATATTTTGATCAACTAGACTGGGGAGAAATGTTCATATATTGAAATGATCACCTTGTAAGCTAAATAATGTAATTGAATGTATTTTTTTAAAATGAAATAAAAATTATAAAATAAAATTTAAAAATTAAAAAAAAAGAAATTATCACTGAGCACATTTTGTGAAGGAAGTTATTGGCTATTCTAGCACTTTGATAAATCCTAAGAACTGTGCTGATTCAGGACAAGAGTTACAAGGTGGGAGGGAGGGGAAGAGAAAGCAAACCCATAGTAAGAATTAGTGCAACTTGGGACCAGCAGTTAGCGTAATGGCTATGTCGCTGGACTCCCACGTCGACTGTGGTTCGCGTCCTGGACCTGGTGGCTTAAACTCACGCCGGGTGTGTGCGTGTGCATGCCAAAGATCCCAAGAGGAGAAGGGATTGCGCTGTGGCCATCCCCCCTGAGGGGTGATTTCTCGCTTTCTATCTCTCTGTCTCTGTCTGGTGAGCACACACGCCCTATAGCAAACACCTCTCAAAAAAAAATTTTTTTTTCTATATCCCAGAACCCCTGGGAATCAGAAGACATGCATTTATGAATTCTTCCCTTCTTTATCTCTAGCTCCGCAGAATCCAGGACAATCATACCCCTGGGGTAGATTCATGACATGATACATCATGTCGAAGGGTGAACACTTTACAACACTAACTGGAAGAACAATATTTAGTAAGAGTAAAACTAAAAACTAGGGCTTTGTTTGTTTGTTTCCTTTGTGGAAGGAAAAAGGAGTGGAGTGTATGAAGAAAATTCTTGATTCTCCATGTCCCAAAGCAAGACACTTACAATTTGCAGCTGCTTACAACCTCGGACGAGCTTATTATGAAGGAAAAGGTGTTAAACGGTCAGATGAGGAAGCAGAAAGGTAATCTAACCTGAGAACAAGATTTTGTCTTAATGAAATGACAAAATAAATACTAACTTGCCTTTTTTTTTTTTTTTCTCTCTTTTAGACTGTGGCTTTTTGCTGCAGATAATGGAAATCCGAAAGCTAGTGTGAAGGCTCAAAGTATCCTAGGATTGTATTATTCAACAAAGGAACCTAAAGAGTTCGAAAAGGTAACAGTTCCCTTAACGCTAGCATCACACTTAGACTATTGTTTCATTCTTTCTTTTTGGAAAGGATGGTTGGAAATTAGTACGTAGTTTTGGGTATCTTTTTTTTAAGAGAGTTTTTTTTTGTTTTTGTTTTTGTTTGTGGGTTGTTTTTTAACCAGAAAGACAGAGAGAGACAGAGAAACAGAAAGTGAGAAATCACTCCCTGAGGGGGTGGGACGGAGTGGTGGCCACATTACAATCCCTTCTCCTCTATTATCCTCTCAGGATTTTGAGCACGCACATATGCCCAGTGTGAGTTTCAAAGCCACCCCGTCCAGAACTCAAAGCACAGTCATCTATGTGGGAGTCCTGTGACATAATCATTATCCCATCCACTGGTCCCCTCTTATATTTTCTTAAGATGCAGAGAAAGTTCCAGTCAGGAGGTGGTGTGGTGGTTAAGGCACCAGACTCCCACCTGGCCAACTGTGGTTTGAATCCTGGACCCAGTGGTTTGAATCCTGGACCCAGTGGCTTGAAAACCATGTGGGCACACGCAGGCAGGTGAGCACCCAAAATCCCAAGAGGAGAATGGAGGACAACAGATTGCATTGCAGCCTGGGCATCCTCTCTGGGGGGGGGGAGGGGGACGATTTCTCACCTCCCCTCTCTCTGTCTCTTTCTCTGGTGAGCACATACACCCTATGGCAAAAACCTAAAAATAAAAAATGCAGAGACAGTTTGCATTTTAGAATCTCAAAGTTCATTCACACCTTTTACTTCTCTCTAAATGCTAAGGAGATCATGAATGTGGGAGTATTTTGCATAATAGAAAAAGTTACGGAGTACTATACTATAAAAGCCAAAAGAGGAGGATGGTCCTGAAATCAGGCCCAGATCTCTTTAAGGATGAATAAATCAATACCATCTTTGATGTGAGGAATGAATGACACCAGTAGGAATAATATACTAAGAAATAAAAATCGAATCTAAGATTCTCACTGAAATACACTCTTTAATCATCAATGATTGAAACACTGTCTATGAAACTCTGCAGGAAGAAGGAAACGTAGGACCAAGTCCTGCTCGTAAGACAGGCGTTAACAGGAAACTCAAAAAAGGGCACCTGACTAGGACCATTCTCAGACACCTGAACAGCCACTTAGAAATAATTTTTATGTATTGGCCCAGAGAGGGACAGAGAGAGAAAGTGAGAAAGCAAGTCGCCAGGTCCGGGACTCGAACTGTGGTTGGCCATGTGGAAGTGTCCAGTGCTCTTAACCACCATACTCCCTGCCAGCCCAGAAATAATTTCTTGACCTAATTCAGATTCACGGTGTCTGACCATCGAGATGTGTTTGAGACTTCATAAAGCCCTCCTCTGTGGGTGTCTTCCATCTTGGCAGTGCTGTCTCTGAGGTCCCCTCGGGGCTCCCACTGTCACTGAGAACCCACAGCTCTTCTCTCCCTGCTGTGCCTCATTGTAGCTGTCTCTGAGCCTTCCAGACACAGGGTGCCTACTCTTCACCATCTTGAGCCTTGACTCTGGAAAATCCCCAAATCCTGAGACTCAGGATGGCTGATGCTCCTCCACCGTGACCTCTCTGGACTATGACCTCACCTCAGCACGCTCTTGTAGACATGCGAATTTAGTACTAGTGTGAAATACATGCAAGGTGTGACCGTTTCCTAGAGAAAATAGAACAAAACTATTTATTTTGCTCTTTTCAGAATTCCCTTATACTTTGGTCTTGCAAATAGTGAAATAAAGTTATGCTTTTTCTTAGGCATTTTATTGGCATTCAGAAGCCACTGGCAATGGGAACTTGGAGTCCCAGGGTGCACTTGGCCTCATGTACTTTTACGGGCAAGGCGTCCACCAGGATACCGACACAGCCCTGCACTGCTTACGGGAAGCCGCGGAACGTGGAAACGTCTACGCCCAAGGGAACCTCGTGGAGTATTACTACAAGATGAAGTTTTTTACCAAGTGTGTTGCATTTTCCAAAAGGTGAGTGTCTTAGTCCATTTTGTGCCGCTCTAACAGCATACCATAGATTGGGTAATTTATAATGAACAGAAATTTATTTCTCATAGTTCTAAAGTCCAAGAGCCTGGGAAGCCCAAGCTCAAGGCTCTGGCAGGTTTGGTTGTCTATTGAGGGCTGTAACCTCCAGAGGAAAGGAACTGAGTCTTCACATGGGCAAAGCCAGAAGGGCCAGCCACCCAGAAACTATGTGAAACCTCTTAAAAGGGCCAGAACACCATTCTTGAGGCCTTAATGGTCTAATCATCACTTAACAGGCTCACCTCTTCCTTCAAACACTGACATCAGCAATACTTGAATTTTGGAAGGGACACATTCAAATCATAGCAGTAAGTTTTGCATAAGGAGCTGGCAGGTGGTGTGTGGGCAAGGTGTTGGAGTCTCACATGGCTGAGTCCCAGACCTGGTGGCTTGCTTTCTCACTTTCCCTTTCTCTTTCTGGTCAAATTAAAAAATAATAATAAATGAAATTAAATAAATAATTAATTTTTTAAAAAAAGAATGCCTACTAAACACCCTATGCTGTAACACTACCTACACCAGGAAATCAGGCATGGGTGTTGTCTAGTGGGCGATCAGACTGTGTGCATAGGCTGATGCATTTCTCAGTCACGCTGGTCCACCGACCTGAGTCTCCAGTCTCCCCCAGCCCATGCAGGGCAACCACCCACAAAAAGGAGGAAGAGGAGCAGCTGCTTACCACTCCTGCCCAATGCCTTGGCTTCCAGGAAGCAGGCCACTTAGGAGTGACCGCCAGTGTCCCAGAGCAAGTACCCTTCTTGGTTAAAACTGTGAATTAAACAGTCTCTCAAATCTTTGAAACTTCTCCCTATCTTCCACATTCCTATTCCCTATAACATGACGGTGAACATGGAGTCAACTAGATTTCATTTTCATACAATTCTCCATATTTGTGTCTGGGCTGTAAAGGATGACTTTTTCTTGACCCATTTGAAAAGAATACGGATGTGCTAGTTCCCCGCCCCACACACACACCGCATTGCCTAATTTTGTCTTTAGCAAAGGTTGTTAAGCAATTTGATTATAAAGTACCTTGGTTTGATTTTCTTCATAGTTCTTGTTCTCAGGTTTATTGTATTTCTATGGATTTACAGTTTTTCTCAAATTTGGAAATTTTTAAGCCGTATTTTCTTTAAATATCTCTTCTGTCTTCCCCTCTTTCCCCGCCTTTAGGTTGCCAGATACATATATAATTGACCACTTCATGTCTTAAAGCTCACTGGTGCTCTGTTCAACAGATGTCCTTGTTTAAGTGTTTTCTTGTCATGTGACGAAATCCAAATTCAAGGTTCATGTTCAATACATGACCCAAAGAAACAGAAAATGCTTTTCCCCCATTCAGTTTAAATCCACAAAATATTAAATTTAAAAGACTTGTCAATGGAAATAACCAAACTCTATTAAAATATTTAAAATGGTTTATTCATAGCCAAGTTGTGAGTGAAGGCGTCAGGGCACAGCTCATGGCAGTGAGGGTGTTCCAGGGGGCGTGGCTGCAGAAGCTCTTCTCCTTACTGCTGAGAGCGGGACATACAAGGCAACTGTAACTCATACGTGGGAGCTCCATGTTCTGTCCCCAGAAGGCAGAACATCTAGAAATGGAGTCTTACCGGTTATAGGTGGGTTTAGAAATTCTTAGGTTAGTAATTGGTTAAAAACACAAGTCTTTGTCTTAAAACAACTCACTCAGCAGAAAAGAATGTCTGAGTTTAGGAGAGATAAGAAGGCTTTGCTATATACCCCATGATGCTTGCCAGGGTCAGGAAAGAGGAAGCAGCCCACAATCCCGGACCAGAGCAGTCTGCTATAACAAGGTTAATACCTGCAGGTCCGACTCTCCCAGCCCCTTGGGAAGAATTTTATTATGAGTCCTCAAACTAATATTACAAGAAAAACATACCTTTGTTTTCTCGTGATTATGAAGCCGGGTGAATATAACATAGGGGAGCTATAAAGTAACCATCCTAGTTCATCTTCCCTTGGTGTTAGTTGACTGTTACATTCACCCTTTACCGTACAGCAAGCAACTTAGCTCTCAAAGGAGTAATCACTTTGGGCACAAGGACAATTTCATTGTTGTTTTGTAACAATGTAAACTGATGTCCTTTCTGATGCAGGATTGCGGACTATGATGAGGTTCACGACATCCCCATGATAGCCCAGATCACTGACTGCCTGCCGGAGTTCATCACCCGAGGCATAGCCATGGCGTCTTTCTACCACGCGCGATGCCTACAGCTTGGCTTGGGCATCACAAAGGACGAAGCCACGGCCAAACACTATTACTCAAAAGTAAGCTTTAGAACAAAATAGAAATGGACCCAAACAGAAACTGTTATATTTCTCATTAAGACTTGAGCAATTGCATGGGATTTATTTTTTCCTGTTTAAGTACTGTGCAGAAAACCTCCATCTGAAGAGGGGTTGTCTGAACATGCAGATTGCTTGCAGATCAGTTGCTGGCATAACTCAACTCAGATGATAAAGTCTTATTTTAAGGCAAATTACACTTTCATTCTGTTACTATCTGCAGCCCTAAGGTGTAGCACCAAGACCTTTCTTAAAGTTCAAAAGGGCGTATCTTTTACCCAGAAAACATATGAACCTGTATCTTCATGCTAGTATCTCAATGAAATCTTTTTATTTTTAAGAATTATTTATTTATTTGTTATTATTATTTTTCACATGAATTTTGCCAGAGAGAGAGAGAGAGAGCAAGCAAGTCACCAGGTCCAAACTTGAACCATGGTCAGCCATGTACATGAATTTTGCCAGAGAGAGAGAGAGAGCAAGCAAGTCACCAGGTCCAAACTTGAACCATGGTCAGCCATGTAGGAATTCCAACACATTAACCACCATGCCACCTGCTGGCCCATCAATGAAATCATTTTTAAAGTTTTTTTAATGCATATTTTAGGAGCAATATTCATGGGTTTGAGGTAATCAGCTAAAATATGGCTTTTCATATTTTAATATATTTAGATCTTAAATGGATTTACATCTTTTTTTTTTTTCTTTTTGGAGAGGTTTTTGCTATAGGGCACTCACCAGAAAGAGACAGAGAGACAGAAAGCGACAGAGAGACAGAAAGTGAGAAATCACCCCCTAGGGGGGATGGCCATGCTGCAATCCCTTCTCCTCCATTCTCCTCTCAGGATCTTGGGCACGCACACACATGCACCCAGTGTGAGTTTAAGATACCAGATCCGGGACTTGAACCTCAGTCAACAACATAGCTATTACGCCAACTGCTGTTCTTCCATTGAATGGATTTACATCTGAACTATGGAAAAGCAACTATGGAAAAGGTGGGGATGGAGAGTGGGGTTGGAGGATTATTATAAATAGTAACTATAAGTGAATTGTGTGTGTGTGTGTGTGTGTGTGTGTGTGTGTGCTTTCAGGCAAGGACTGTTTTATTTATTTTCATATTCCCATCACCTCATACAGGGCATGCCACATTTAGCAACTCAATTCTAGAAACAGAAGTGGTGCCAATATGAAGATATCCATTTAATACTAAGGTTAACAAAAGCATGGCTAAGGTCAGATACTGACTGTTCTGAACATGGCTTAAGACTCTTGGGGATATATTTATTCTTTTTTTTTTTCCATTGAGAATACCCTTTGTATTGGCTCAATCAAGCACATCAACATATGTGTTATTGTCAACAAATCATTTTCCATTTCTTGTTTTCTGTATATTTTGCCTTTTTTCCCATCCTTGATTCCCTATCTCACCCTCTGCCATCTCCCACCCTCCTCCCACACTGTGTCTGGTATCTATTATTGCTTTCTATGCCTCCCCCCTTTTATTGTTTCACTAAATATCTTAATAAATCTAAATATTTTCAATAGCAAGCACAGCTGATATATACATATCCATGAACACAAGCCTGACTTTAGGCATAAACCTCAGTGAATAGAATGAACATACTATAAAGTAGCACCTAACTAGGGCTATATAGCTTAACTGCAGTCATCAAATAGGTATGTTTAATGCTTTTTTTTCTTCTGAAATTTTTT